ATGGGTAAAACCCGCAAAAAGTTTGATGGGTATGAGGCGGGTATGGTTTTCGCCTCCCCCGCCCCATACCCGCCCTAACATGAATATTTCTTCACATATAAAAATACATGAATAAAATTGAAACCTATCAATGAAAGTGATGGTAACTTAAGACAATATATAGTAGAAATGCAATTGAGTGGTCACCCAAACCAAATCTAATTCATTTACGTCAATTCTCCCTTCATTCTTTCACTTTACTTTCTTGTTAAAAAGATAATTATGTTAGTTAAGTATTACTTAGTAGATGTATCAGAGTTAGAAACTAATAATTTCGAAAACATTGTGCTCTATCATATTGATTAATAGATGTTTAGGATCATATAACTTTAACCATATTAAGAATGATTCTATCTTTGTTAGCTTAATAATATAGTAGGTCTGTTTAGTGTTTTTTTTTGTCAAAAGATATCATGTATTGATCGAAAAATAGACAGTTAAACCCTGGAAACCAGCCAGGTCTGGAAATCAAAGAAGCGACTCATAGTCGGATACAAAGAGAGGGCTTTCCTAGCTACCAAATGAGCTACCCTATTGTTCTCCCGACCTACAAAACGCACACTAAAACCAGGCTGAGTACGAAAATAATGCATAATCTCTTCCAGAACCGCACCCAACCGGCTGTCTCTTGTGTCGGCTTGATTAATTTTGTCAATAATCACCTTGGCATCGCCCTCAAATCGGACCTCCGACAAACCTTTCTCCAAACACCAAATAATAGCTTCCCTAAGCACAAGCAATTCCACCACTCCAGGATCATCCATTTGAGTAAACTGGACCCCTCTAGCCAGAAGGAGTGTCCGCATTGGGTCAAGAAGAACCATCCCACCAGCCGAGTGTGACCCACCCTTAGTAGCTCCATCCCACATGCAAACCAAAGGGGAATCACTCACTTGTGCTGTAGAGTGTATTGTCGGGTTTTGAGTCCTAGGCCCCTGGTCCGTTGGTAGACCCATCCATTCCTCATATTGTTGGTTAAACTGTCTCATGAGCGCCGGGATCCCAAATTGTTTGCCTTCAAAGACTACCCAATTCCGAGACCGCCAGATCCTCCAAAGGATGGCAACAACAGCCATCGCCAACGACGGTTGATGGATCAAACCCAACAGGCGTTTGAGAAACAAAGGAAAAGTCTGCCTAGGCAAACCCTCCCCCAAGTAGTCCAGCTCAGAATAATCCCAGAGGCCCCGCGCAACCGGACAATAGAGGAACAGGTGTTCCATTGTCTCCTGGCCATCCCAACAAACTGGACACCGAGGTAACACCTGGACCTGTTTCTCAATAAGCGCCTCCGTAGTCGGCAGAGCCCGATTCAGAATTTGCCAAACAAAAACCTTCAATTTTGGAGGGATCTTCGCCTCCCAAACTCTTATCCAACTCGGCTCATCCATCCAGCTAACCGAGGATCGCCACCCACCCCTCCTCCTGTCCAAATCGACAGCCAAATGATAGGCCGACTTAACCGAGAAGACCCCGTCGGCCGTATAATGCCAGATAAGCTTATCAGGCACGTCCCACCGTGGGAGAGGAATAGCTTTAATAACCTTACAGGTAGGCGGATCGAACCATTGGCTGAGTTTCTCATCGGACCACCTCCCTCCCCCCTCACAAATAACCTCTGCCACCAAGGGATTAGCCCCCTCATGCAAAATCCGCGGATTATAACTTGGGGGATCAAGTTGGTACCTAGGAATCCAGTTAGAATGAAGGAGGGAGACCGATTGGCCATTACCAGCCTGCCATCGCAAACCCCTCTCCAATAACTGACGCCCATGAAGGATACTTTGCCACCCCCAAGAGGGACGAGACCTAGCGGTCACAGTCAGGAAAGACCCTTGAGGGAAATACTTGCCTTTATAGACCTGGGCAATAAGTGATTTAGGTTCATTGAGAATACGCCAGCCTATCTTAGCCAACAGATCTTGGTTGAAATGTTCAAACTGGCGAAATCCCATCCCCCCATCATGCTTACTCCTGCACATGTTACGCCAGGAAACCCATCTAATTTTGGGATTACCGCCCTCAGCACCCCACCAAAAACGGGCCACATGCTTATCTAAAAGACGACACAGAGCCAGGGGAAGACGGAAACAGGACATAACATGAAGGGGAAGAGCCAACGCTATGGATTTGATCAATGTTTCCTTAGCGGCCCACGACAAAGTCCTTTGCTTCCACCCCTGAAGGCGTTCTAGGAGTTTTTCCTCCAAATATCTGAAAGTAGCCATTTTGGACCGAGCGACCAGCGTTGGAAGCCCCAGATATTTATCATGGACCCCCACCGCTCCAACCCCTAGGATCGTGGCCAAGAACTCCTGATCTGGCGTGGAAATACTCTTGCTAAAACACACCGCCGACTTCTCCAAATTGACGCGCTGTCCACTCAGTTCCTCATATTCATTCAACACCTCCATCAAATTCTCGCACTCCTGCAGAGAACCTCGCAAAAATAAATAAGAATCATCCGCGAAGAATAGATGCGAGACTCTTGGAGCACGAGGAGCTACTTTCATCCCCCTCTAATTTTTTCTCCGTAATCGCCTTTTGAAGGAGGGCTGCAAACCCCTCCGTGCAGAGTACAAACAAGAGAGGGGAGAGCGGATCCCTCTGGCGAAGGCCCCTAGAGGCAGTGAAATAACCCGAGGGTGCACCATTCATCAGAACCGAAAAAGAGGAGGATCGAAGACATTCATGTATCCATCCTCGCCAGACAGAACTAAAACCCATCTTACTCAAAACTGCAAGAAGTAAGGGCCATTCGACTCTATCATAGGCTTTTTCCATGTCAACCTTCAGAGCCATGTACCCCTTTTTCCCTTGATTTTTAATTTTCAGATAATGCATTAGTTCATGTCCTATAAGGATGTTATCAATAATCTGCCGGTCTCTAATAAAGCCATTTTGGCCCTCCGAAACGATCTGAGGGAGCATGCTAGCTAGCCGTTCAGCCATGATTTTGGTAATCACTTTGTAAACAAACTGGCAGAGGCTGATCGGACGCAATTGCCTAATCGTTTCCACCGAATCCACTTTAGGGATCAAAGTGAGCCAGGTATGGTTAAAACTCTGCAGCATCCGACTCGAAGTAAAGAAAGAAATTACTGCTTCAACCACCGAAGTGCCCACAATATCCCAGAAAACTTTAAAGAACTTCCCTGTGAAACCATCCGATCCCGGGGCCTGTTTCGATCCCATGGAAAAGATCGTACTCCGAACCTCATTAGGCAAAACCTCCGCCGTCAACTGCGCATTCATTTGCGGAGTAACACTCTGGGAAATCGGCATATCCGCCACCCTTTCCGCCATGTTAGTAACCTGAGTTTCCGACGTAAACAAGGATTGGTAAAAATTAGTGGCAATAGTAGCCTTCCCGGTTTCCTCAGTGACCCATTCACCCTCCTCATTACGAAGCCCGGAAACGAAATTCCTCTTCCGCCGAGCCTTGGTGACTGTATGAAAGTAGGCTGAATTTTGATCTCCTTTTTTTAACCATTTAACCCTGGATTTTTGTTGCCAGAAAACCTCCTCAGCTTCCCACTGGCGAGAGAGCTCCGTCTCCAAGGACCTAATCTCATCCCAATCCACCGGATGAATCGACTTTATCCTCTCAATCTCGGCCTGGAGCGTCTTGATATTACGCAGGGAATTAGTTGTGCCCGCCCTGCTCCAGTCATATAGCAGATGACGGAGTTTCTTTAGGCGCTCCTACAGTCGAAACATAGGGGTGCCTTGGATCTCCTCTTGCCAGACATAGTTGACCATAGCCCTAACCTCCGGATTATCCGCCCAGCGGGCATCAAACCGGAAAAGGGGTCGACTAGTACGGACATAAGGCTTATCAGCAATGAGCAGGGCACGATGGTCTGATCCCTGATCTGTGAAATGTTTGACTAGAGTCTCCGGGTATGAATCAATCCAGGATTGAGAGCAAAGCGCTCTATCCAGACGTGCATGAATGCAAGCATCACCCATGCGCTTATTTGTCCAAGTGAATTGATCTCCTTGGTAACCAGGGTCATGGAGACCCATATCATGAATATATTCACGGAGACTAAAAGCTTGGGCAGCATTCCACGCCCGTCCCCCATCCTTCTCATTCTCATTAAGAGTAGCATTGAAATCGCCTACAACCACATAAGGGTGATTGATATTCTCACAAACAGTCCGCAATTGAGCCAACTGGGTAGCTCGAATAGCAATATTACAGCTAAGATAAACAAAAACCACAACATAAGAAAAATCATCTTCATTAATTTGCAAACAAACATAGAAATTTGAATGACATAACACCGAAGTGTCAACTCCGGGGGCCCAAGCAACTACTAAACCACCCGATGCATCGACTGCATCAACAAAAAAACAATGAGAAAAAGCAAAGCCTAGACCCCGCATACGGCGGGACACTACACGCCGGCTCGATCGTGTCTCCGAGAAAAACACGAGATCCGGTTTATTGGAATGAACAAGCCCTACAGCAGTTTGGAAAGTGAGAGACGGCCCAATTCCTCTCACATTCCAGGCGAGAAGCCTCATTTATCCTCCTGGGGCCACTCAAGGCTGGCTTCCTCCACCTTATCCAGATCATCCAACAATTCCACAAACTGCTTCTTTGGGGTAGGGGGTTACCCACATCCCCCTCCAAATCATCCAGCACGCGTTTCCGGTTCTCCATGATGGGGTCCATCAAATTAGACCCATACTCATCCAGCCTTGGGCTTCCTCCCTTGCCCACACCATCCTCCTCTCTTGCAATAACTAACCCAGCTTCAAAAGCTTCCACCACTTGGTGGATACGCCCTTTTATGATATGGCGAGTTTTCAAAGTATCCTCAGCTGGCAACCGTCGCTTGATCTCAAAAGAGTGATGATCCTCAGCCTGATCATCATCAGAATCACTGCCATGATGTTGATCAAAGTCAACAGGCTCCTCCAAAGTAGCAACAAACTCCTTCTCCTCCAAGTCAAGCAGAGCACCAATAGGAGTAGGGCCCTCCTCTTTGGGGGGCGAATTTATAGGGCAGTTTGCTCCACTCTTTCGAAGACGCGGGCGAGCCCGGGGTTTCAAGACAGGGTCCTCCCTCGGACCTGCAGGAGCACGATGCTTCATAGAGGGATTAGACCCATCGCCAGTAGGGGGGCCAAAACACAATGTAGCTTTGAATGCCCTACTCGACCACAGTGGTAGCAGAAGGTTGGTAAATACTCATACTTGAGATTTACCCAGAAGCTTCCAATCTCTTCACTGATCGCCATGAATTGAGAGCGCAATGGTTTGGCAAAATCAATGAGAGCAAGCACTTTCACAAAGCGTTCATCAGTGTCTTTGGAAGAGAAGACGTCAGCCTCCAACACTTGACCAATGATCCCAGCTGCCACTTTCCGGCCAAACTTCTTCGTGCAACAGTCGTCTTTTACGTTCCATAGCTGAACACGAAATAGAGCAATGGCCAAGTCGTCAAAAATAGGCCTTGTGATAGAGGGTGTCCAGGACCGCAGGTGGAGAATCCTATCCTTAACAATCCATGGAGATCTTTTTAGGAGCCAAACCCTCATCTCATCATTTGGGAGAATAATTTCAAATAGGCCAAATTTAGTGGCCGAAACCCGAATGTTTCCTTGCACCCGCCATGTCTCAAGCAAGCCCTCCCTTAACTCACTCGGGGTGAGTGTTTTCCGGAAATAGTCTTCTCAAGAGAGTCCTTGAAGTGCGAAATTTCACCGATTGAACCTCATCGAGTGAGAATTGAACCACTCGATCCTCCGTTATACGAGCCATAGTATTCACCTGCCACAAGGGGGAAGATAAGCTTTTAGATTCAATGGGGTTATCCATACTTGGACTAATAAAACAACATAATGAAAAAGGGACAATCGGTACAGTCACAACTAAATTTGTAAATGAGAAACGTGGGCCGTTAATGCCAATTCCAAAGCCTGGTAAAGAGCCAACCGGGCTGGTCTCCACCAAACCCTCAGCTTGGAATAGTGGGCTGCCCCTGGCAGGCCACAGACCCGGCCAACCCAGGCCTGCATCCTGTCTCCCTCGGACATCAATCGGAGCAGTGCCCAGTCCCGCCGAAGCCAGGGACTCACTCGACCTGGGCGGAGTAACGGCCGGCACCGCCCAAACCATGGACTTACTCGCTCTGGAGCGGGCTACCGCCGAGGCGGATGAGAGGAGGCTCCTCGAGTTAAAGTTCGGCCGGTGTATCTGGTCAATCGCCGAGCCAGAGGGGAGGATCTTCTTCGAATTAAGAAAGGGCGAGAGAAAGTGGGCAAAGAACCCAGTACCTAGATGCTGAGTCGGAGCGTAAATTAGCTGCTGGGGAGTTCCTTGTCTAGCTTCGTCAGAAATCCCAAGGCACCGTGAGTTACACCGAAGTGTTGGAGCGGTGGGAGGAATCAATTTAGGGTGCGTTTGGATACAATGATTTAGATTTGGTATTTGTGATTTGGATTTCCAAATACCAAATCATGTGTTTGGATATTAATTACATTTGGTATTTGGATTGTGTCAAATTCATGGAATGATTTTCAAATACATGTCTAGTGTATTTTTTGTCAACTTCAAATACATTTCAACAACTAGTGATTTGAAATACCTCCTAACAAAAAATTGGACCTATTTGTAAAATATGAAAAGTTTAGGTACTATAGTATGAGGAAAAACATATAAAGGTACCAAAATATAATTTTATCATCAAAATTTCAGGACCTTTTTGTAAAATTTTAAAATTTTAGGTACTAAATTGTAAGAAAAAATAAATTTGGGTACCAAACTGTAATTTACCAAAATTTGTAGTAAGTGACCAAAAATTTAAAAATTCAAATTGAAAATCGTAAAATACAAAATACAAACAAATTACAAATGAGTATTCAAACAAAGAATTTGAATTACATATATTTTAAATGCTAATATTTCAAAGGTTTAATACATTTGTATAGCCATAACTTTCGCGGTTTTGACAATAATAGCCACTTTTTGAAAAATACACTAGAATAGCCATGCTTTTGAAACTAGGTTGACAACTTTAGCAATTTCTGTTACAAAGTTTAACGACGTTAGAAATGCCGTCAGTTAAATGGATGTTAATCTGATGTGGATGCCACCTAGACGACACATCAGCTCCAACTAGACTCGTTATGCCACGTAGATGCCACCTCTTATTTTGAAAAAAATATAATAAACTCCAAATAATTTCAAAAAATGAAGTATTATTTCAATAATTTTCTATTTCTATTTTTCTTTAATCCTTCCTTCTCGACGGGAGTCCCGACGACCTCGGCGTCGGCGGTGGCTGGACCCAATTCTGCAATTGCAAGCACAAAATCGACTGACAAAATTAGCTCTTTTAATTGTCTCTCATCTCCAACAAAGCGAACACCATATCAAGAACCTTCCTTACCTTGCCTAGATTAGCTTGTCCAATGACGAGAAAAATCCAAATGCCAAAATCCACCTCTGACGATAAGAATGCCCACTGAACTCATCACCAATAAATCCACCTCCGACGACTAATTCAACCCACTTCAAACAGCATAGAAACCCTACAATTTCGAATCTCACATTCTATCATGCAAGAAAGCAAAAATTGAAAAAGTACCGATTTTGACGCAGATTCGATAAGGGGTAGCGGCGGGTCGGAGGTCTACGACGATCTCATCAATTTCTCCGGTGAGCTCTGGAGTTCTCGGTGAAGGAGATTGGAAAAGGCGGTGCCAGATTTTGAGCTTTGGCGGTGGTTGGGGTTTCACAATCGACGCTGCGGAGTGGCTCTCGTTCTCTCTGATCTGTTTCACTCTGAGCCGAATGACGAACAGAGGAGAATGGTGGATGAAGCGGCAATGACGATTGGACGGCTCAAGTGCACCAAGTGGGATCCCCGTCGGCCGTCATCGTCTCCTTTGTCGAACGCGGCGTCGGCGACCTTACCGGCAACTCATCGCTCGAGTTAGTCGCGGACTGTCCGAGGAATCAGGTGCTGGTCACTCTCGGACTCTTCCTTCCCTTCTTCCTTCTTTTCCCACTAGGGTTTCTGGGATTCAAATTAATTTGGGAGTTCAGATCTGAAGGAGGAAGAAGGAGGGGGATTTGGATTTTCTAATGAAACTTTGAGTGGGCAGCGGGACAAAGGATTGGAAAAAGGAAGACAATGCTTGATCCCGCTCCTTCTCGTTCTTCGAGTTACCCAATGATGCCGGCGGAGAGGAACTTTCAATCCCGCTGCTACTCGTGCAAAGGAAACCCAAATTCTTCTTCAACCTCGTCTACTGAGCAAGTAAGCAGGTCTGGATCGATGATTGCTTGGCATCCACATGAAAATTGGGATTAAACAGAGAAATCAGAGGGAGGATGAAGGAAAAGAGGTGGAGGGAATGGTGGCGGAGCTTGGGTATGGAGATGGCGGTGCGAAGCTTCGTGAAAAGGGGGAAGATGATGAGTCTTTATTTTTTTTATTTTTATTTATTTATTGTTTTCTAATTAATTGTAATATAAAGGATATTTTCACGTGGCAAAGCTTTTGAGAAAAATTTGCCACCTCATAAAAAATCGTTAGTCCAGTCAGCGCCTATCTTAATGCCGTTAAAGTTATGGACGGAATGGCTATTCTAGTGTATTTTTCAAAAAGTGGCTATTATTGTCAAAACCGCGAAAATTATGGCTATACAAGTGTATTAAACCTATTTCAAATACATTCATTTCAAATGTTAATATTTCAAATACCTTACATTTAAAATACACTTATCCAAACGCACCCTTATAGAATTTAGAATTCAAGTTCCCCAGTAAGAGGGAAACTCCCCGGATCCGATTTTCAGTTAGAGAAGGAATTGGTTTTGGATTAGGAGATTTGGGGATGGACTTCGATCTGTTTTCCCAAGATCGGATCCGGTACGCGCTTAAATCGCTCAGCTCAGCCAAAAAATCTCCCGAAGAAAGATCGTTAGCCGCCATACGCGACTGCGTCCCCACTCGCCAGCGTTTATCATCGGCGCCGCCTCTCCGGCCGACCAATTCCGAACCAACTACACTGGTGATGGGGCTTATGAAATTTAATCTCTCTTTGATACTGCCTTTCAAGAGACAGCAATTACCATCCCCGAGGGGATCAACCTGACCAATCAAGTCACAAGAATTTGCCTTTGATTCAACACTGTAACAGGGTACTCTACTCTCGGTTTTCACCTCTCGCGTCACGAGAACAGTCCCCCCCCCCCCCCCCCCCCCCCCCTAAGGGCACAAAAACACTGAATCGATTATTGAGTCGATTGTTGATAATCGCACCTTCAATTGGAAGCCAAGAAGGCTTAATTTTGCTCTCCGCGACCGAGGATGCTTCAGAGTCCTCATTATCCAATTCAGACGAGTGCGGAAGCCGGAATCGCCATTGAACCCGTGGCCCGATCTGAGGTCTTTTAGAAGGGTGTGCTTCCTCAGTTTTCATCTCGGCCAAGGCCGAACTAATCAATCGTTTTTTCAGGCGGAGCACTTTTGCTCGACGCCATGCCATCCCATTCGAGGCCCTATTTGGACAGGGCTTCGCAGATTCCAGGAGATTTCCTTCTCCCCTGTTGATGAACCCGTCTTCTTTAAGCCCAGGCGCCCGAGGAAGATTCCTGTGCAGAGGAGACGACGATGGGAACCAGTGATTCTGGTTTTGCAGACTGGTCTCGAAGAAGGCAACAACTGCCCTTGAAAGCCACCGGCCGACGACCGAACAGAAAAGCAGGAGAGAGGAGAGAGCTCCTCGAATTTTTTTTATAACACCCTTATTAGTAACTTTATAATTGAAAATTTACACGTATTAGTATTTTGTGACCCGTTATAGTATTTTGTATTATGTGACCTGTTATAGTATTTTGTTAGTATTCTTAGTCTAAATTAATATTTTGTTAACATTTTTGTTAATAATATTGACTTGACAATATGATACTTATTGAGAAGAGATATATGACGGTCAACGTCCAATTTAATTCTTTTTTGAAAATATTGGCTAATAAATAATATTTATCTAAACCCAAGTAGACCCATTAATTATGGGTAGGGTATGGATGACGTATATATGAGTTTGGAAGTTTGTAGATGGGTTTGGGTAGGGTATGAATATTTATTTTCATAATCTAAATTTTTATGAGTTGGGTATGGATACCATTTATTCGAGGGTGTTTTAATTATACATACAAAAATTAGAACTATTTGTAGAACTTCAAATATTTAGGTACTAAAATGTAATACAAAAAAACTTTAGGTACTAAAATGTAATATTCCGTCAATATTTGGCCACTTATGTGCAAAAAAAATTAGGTAATAAATCTAAAAATCTATTAAGTTTAGGTACCGAACTGTAATTTGCATAACTGAGGCTTGATTTCTTTTATGGTGATGTATTTAAGATGATAATTATTTATTTTTCGATAGAAAATATAAAACTATTTATTTGATATGTATAATAGTTGAACATTCCATGTATATTTTTTGAAAATTCTAGCCCAGGTGGAAAAGAAAAACTCAAGAGAAAAGCAAAAAGAATACAAACTGGAACTCACTTAAATTTTCACGCCTTCAAATTCCATAGTGAAAAATGACGACTTTCTAATAAGTAATCATCATATATATTTATTTTTAATTGGACTCGACAATTATACATAGAATGTTTGGCTAGTTATCTACATATATCAAATAAATAGTTTCCATTGTTGTATTAAAAAGTAAATAATTATAATCATAAATATATCACATAAAAAAGAATTAATCATCAAGTATGCAAATTAAAGTTCGCTATCTAAACTTAATAGATATTTAGATTTATAACATCAAATTATTTGTTTGGCATATAAGTCCTTAAAATATTGTTGGAACATTATATTTTAGTACCTAAAGTTTTTATGTATTACATTTTGGTACCTAAATTTTTGAATTTCTACAAATAGATCTTATTTTGTATGTGTAATTAATACACTTTCAAATAAATGTGTATCCATACCAAACTCATACACATTTAGATTATGAAAGTAAATATTCACACCCTACCTAAAGCCATCTACAAACTTCCAAACCCATTTATACGTCACCCATACCCTACCCTTAATCAATGGGTCTACTTGGGTTTAGGTGAATATCATTTATTAGCCAATATTTTCAAATTTTTTTAAATTGGATGTTGACCGCCATATATCTCTTCTTAGTCAATATCATAATGTCAAGTCAATATTACTAACAAAAATGCTAACAAACAATCAATTTTAGACTAATAATACTAACAAAACACCATAATGAGTCACTTCACTAACTTATTGCTACTGTGAAGCGTTTCCTAGTGCCACAAAGCTAATAATTTGGTGGGCTCGAGGCTGTGACCTGTGAGCCTGATTTTACTTTTGTGTTTGTTATTTAACATGGTTGTTCATTTGAGAATAGTTAGTGAAGGGAGAAATGCCAAGGGATAATCTGTACCTCTAAAATGAGATATTGATGGATGTAAGGATTGGCATTAGAGTGCACCAACCGTCCAAGATTTTTGAAAAGACAAGTGTGTCATTTTATACAAATAAAATAATAAACAAAAATAAATACATAAAAGTCTAATTCATATTTCATTGTTTTTCTTAGCAAGCAACAATTTGAATATTATGAGAGGTATTTGAAATATATTTATTGTTTATTTTGCCATTCAAGTATTAGTCCATGCATACAACTTAGCAATCATTGATAAATTGATCACTAATATAATTTCAAAATGTAATTTCTTTTATCAACTTCGCAGTTAAAAAATCATCCTACTTGCTATTACAATAGATATATCCATTACAACTTTTAAATGTATGTAAAATGTGTCAATTAGAGACGAAGTGAGAAAGAGCTAGAGAAAGAAAGAGCGGGAAAATCAGTTGGATCGTCGCGTCGGCCATCGCCGTTGCGGCGGAGCTTGATTCTCTTGAGATTTCTTCTCTTCTCCCTCTCCATCGCCATGGCTGGTGATTGTTCCTGGGCAGATCTGTTCGGTATCGCAGAGAAGAATCGACTCGTCTATATTGAGCCGGAAATCTTGGATGGCGGGTTGAGGATTCCTGCAGAGCTTGAGGAAGAGGGAATTGCGCGGTGGAGGAACTGTCTGGTAGGGCAGTTTCTTGCTTCTTCCCCTCACGTCAGGCAGGTACAAGCATGGGCTAATAGGCTGTGGGGGAAGAATGGCTCGGTTAGGGTTTCTTGTTTGGGCGATTCGCTTTGGCTATTTCAGTTCCCGAAGGAGGAGACTGCTCATTGGGTTTTTACGAGTGGACCCTGGCATTTGCATAACGATATGTGCTATCTGAGGAAATGGGAACCGGGAATCCGTGCAGAGCAACTACAGCAAACAATTCCAATCTGGGTACGATTTCTGGATCTTCCCTTAGAGTATGTAATGGGGCGTATTCTCACTTGTCTTGCAAGTATGCTAGGTAGGCCCCTCTGGTTTGATAAGGCTAGTCGATTGGGTAGAAGGTTGGGGTATCCAAAGGTTTGTGTGGAGGTTAGAGTGGATTCTCATTTCCCTGAATCTCTACGACTAGTCCCAGACAGAAGGCCTCCATATCCAATTCAGATTGAATATTGCAATATGCCAGTTATCTGCAAGAAATGCTCCAAGTTTAGGCATCTATGTGAAGGCACGGAGACCCCTGCAAACGAACAGGTTGGTGGTTCGTCTATTGGAGTAGTACAGACTGAAGAGGTGGCTGGTTCTTCCTCGGTTACTGCACTGCAGAATGAGTTGGTGGCTCCTCTCGCTGCTACATGACACAATCAACCTGACCCTGCCTCACAGCTGGGACTAAGTTCTGCTATCAACAAGGAAGGGTGTTTACAGGAAGCTTTGGATAATCTAGTCAATTCTCTTGTGGGAGGAAGCCCTGCTGAGGTTTGGCAAGTGGAGAAGCTTCCCTCTGATTCAGAATTCCAAGTTGCAGTAGAAGGCAATGGGATCCCAAACATGAGAAACTCCTTTGGGGCCCTGGACTCTCTAGAGCAGTTTGAGGTAGGTACTCTGGCTATTTCTCCTCTCAAAGACCCTGTTCATTTTCCTGAGTTGTGTAAAGTGGTTGAGGGACAACAGAAAGGCAAGAAGCCTGGTAGGCCTTCTAAGGCCAAGTCTAAAAGTAAGTAATGAAAATTCTCTCTTGGAATGTAAGGGTTTCAATAACCCTGTGAAGCATAACAGTTTAGTAGAGGTTCTTCGTCAGAAAAAGGTAGATATAGTAGTTGTTCTTGAAACCAGAGTTGATTCAGATAAGGATCAGAAAATACAAGAGGAGTCGTTCCCAGGTTGGAAACATGTAGAGACATACTCAAGTACAGGGGTAGGCCGCATTTGGGTTATGTGGAATTCTATGTGATTGACACTATATTGGGGAGTACTCAGCTGCAAGTTGATTTTGTGTATGCATCTAATGACTCTAGCCAACGTAGCAGAATGTATCAGGATCTCAAGGGAAAAATGGATCTCACAAAACCCTGGGTGATCATGGGGGACTTCAATGCTATACTTCATAGTAATGAATCCTCCAGTCCTGTTATACTGGGAGAAAGTGCTAGGAGTTTTGGAGGGTGGATTGGTGAAATGCAGCTGGTCGATCATAAAGTGGTTGGTCCTTGGTATACATGGACTAATAAGCAGGATACAACCCTATATCTAAAAGACTGGATAGGGTGCTGGTGACAGAAGGTTGGTTAACAGTTCATCCTTTCTCCTCAGTTCTATCTCTCCCCCCAGGATTCTCTGACCACTGTGGTCTCCTTCTATGCACAGATTCTAGGGGTAAAACGTTTCCTAAACCTTTCAAGTACTTTAGTTTCTGGAAAACTCATCCTCTCTATGCTGATTTAGTTCAAGAAGGATGGAGTAGCAATATCAGGTGGCCTGCAATGCAACAGTTATACCACAAGCTAAGAGAAGTCAAACAGAGGCTAAGAAAGTTGAATAAGGATCACTACTCAGATATACATGAAAGGGTGAAGAAAGCTTAGGAAGAACAGGAGATGGCTCAAAAAGAAGTGTTGGAGCGCCCTGCCTCCTCAGCTTTTCAAGCTGAGCAGAGGTGCATGGTCTAGCTTCTAGATCTTAAGAAGGCTGAAGAATAGTTTCTGAAGCAAAAATCAAGAGTGCTGAGAATTAACTGTCGGGATCTTAACACTAGTTATTTTCACAGCATGGTCAGAACCAGGAACTCCAGAAGCACTATTTCCAAGTTAATCACAGATGATGGTAGATGTTTGGAAGGGATAGATGAAATTGGTAAGGAGGCAGTGGATTTTTACCAGAATCTTCTGGGAACGGCTAACTCCTCTCTTCAGCATGTGACAGTGAACACAATCCAGAAACTTCTTTACCATCACCTCCCCCAGGACTCTTCCCTCTGTGTACCAGTCTCAGTAGATGAAATTACATCAGTAATCAAGAACACGAAGAGGGCCAAAGCCCCTGGCCCTTATGGGTTCTCTGCAGAATTCTTCCAGGATAATTGGAGATTGGTTGGCCCTCTGACTATTGAAGCAATAATGGACTTCTTTGCTACTGGAACTCTTAGAAGAGAGGTAAACTCTACTATCCTCGCCCTCATCCCTAAAGTCCCTAATGCCAGTTCAATGAAGTTGTTCATGCCTATCTCCTGCTGCAATTTCATCTATAAATGTATCTCGAAAATACTTGCCAATCGGTTGAAAGAAGTTCTTCCACAGCTCATTAGCCCTAACCAGACAGCTTTCATTAAAGGAAGACTGATCTCTGATAACATAATCCTAGCACATGAACTAGTAAAATGGTATAATAGGAGGAATGTCTCATGTCTGTGTGCCTTAAAGATAGATATCATGAAGGCTATTGATAGTGTAGATTGGTATTTTTTGGTCACTGTCCTGAGGGCCATGGGGATACCTGAACAGTTTGTCAAATGGATCCAATGCTGTCTAGAAACTACCAAGTTCTCTGTGTGTCTGAATGGAGGTCTAACTGGGAATTTCCCTGCCAAGAAAGGTCTTAGGCAGGGTTGCCCTTTATCTCCATACTTATTCACCATAAGTATGGAAGTTCTTTCCTGTATGCTTACTAGGGCAGCAACCAGGAAGGTCTTATCTTTCCACCCTCAGTGCCATAGGATAGGGCTTACCCATCTCTGCTTTGCTGACGACCTCCTGATCTTCACTAAGGGGTCAGGAGAGGCCGTGGGAACTGTTGCTACTATCCTAGAGAAGTTTTACCTGGTTTCAGGTCTTAGATGCAACCCTTCCAAGAGTGAAATTTTCTGTGCGGGTGTGACTGAAGAGGAAAAGGCTTCACTGGTTAATTGTTCTAGTTTCAAGGAAGGTACCCTCCCTGTCAGGTATCTGGGGATTCCACTTTCTGCAGGGAAACTGAAAGCAACAGACTGCAGAGCCTTGGTGGATAAGATAACAAGTCGAATTAGTGGTTGGCAACTGAAACTCTTGACATATGCTGGCAAGCTTCAGTTAATTGTAGTTGTCCTAGCTAGTATATCCCAATACTGGATAGATATCATTCAGCTCCCCAAGAAGGTAATCAGAGAAGTGGAAGCTTTATGTTCAAAGTTCTTATGGGGCAATTTGGAGCAGAACAGGAAAGCAAAGGTGGCCTGGAAGCACGTTGCTTTACCAAAGGAAGAAGGTGGACTGGGTTTCAGAGACTTGTGGTCTTGGAACCAAGCTTGTCTAGCTAGACATATTTGGGCAGTTTTGGCAAATCAGGAAACTCTGTGGATAGCATGGTTGAAGGAGTATAGGCTACGTAACATTAGCATTTGGGAAACTCATATTAAAGGGTCCTGGGTCTGGAACAAGATACTTAAGACCAGGCCCCTTCTTAATTCATCCCTGGTCAGGACTGAAGCTGAGATAGAGTGGAATGGTGTTGTCATGACTCGGTTCAGCACAAAAACTATCTGGAATAGCCTCTGACATCGGCGAGATGCTGTTCCTTGGGCCTCGTTGGTATGGAAGGGGCCTCTGATCCCCAAGAACTCCTTACTATCGTGGCTGGTTATACAAGATAGAATCATGACTTTAGATCAAATTAAGAACTTGAATCCAGACATCCTTGACACCTGCCCTCTCTGTCATTCTGATCCAGAGTCTCGAGATCACCTCTTCTTCTCCTGCTCTTATGTCAGGACGGTTTGGAGCATTGTTTTTGACCCTTGGCAGTTCCCTCTTGGGTGGACATTTCATGGTGTGGTCTTAGCAGCTGTTAGCAGGTTAGGGAAATGCATGACGGGGCATTCCATTTGGTGCTTGCTGGTTAGTGAAGTATGGCGGGAGAGATGCAGAAGACTATATGGAAACAAATTCTTATCTCCCGCAGCTTTGACTCATAAGATGGCGCAGGAGGTGGAATTCAAGATTGCAGGGGACACAGTTTTTGCAATAGCTGCTGAGAGAAAACAGCCTTGGTATAAAATGGTGTAAATTTGGTCCTGGTCCCAATTTTGCTTTTATGGTGCTGTTGTAAAGATTAGTGGGTTTTGTATTTTTGGTTAGCAGGTAGATGTAGGGTAAGGGTTTTGTACAAATCTGAGGACACAGTTGACAGTTGTATTTGACCGATTGTATGATGAATAAAGCTCACCATTCATCAAAAAAAAGTGTCAATTACATACATGCAAACACCACTTGAAATCACAGGCTCCCAAATCAATATGTCACTCGCTATCCTTCTAGAGTAGCAAAGTGCGTCCTCCTTTCTAGTATATATATAGGTGTAAGACCTATGACCACGTAACCTAATAATGAGATACTAAGAGTGTTTCTATGAATGTAAGCCTCACACAGCGTGAAAAAGAACCATGTTAATCAAAAGTGTTCTTTATTTACCGCGCAGTCTTTCAATGTGTCGTATTTACCACATTAGCAGTATTTCGGTCCAGCCAAACTTGATGAAGTTCAACGAGTGGAGAGTGAACGATTGGGCTATTAATGCCGGCGTCGGCCGACCGCTGATGATTTATGGATCATTACATTTACAAACCAAGAATAAGTTTGTATAACTTTAGCTCCATTTCTGACTTCTAGTCTATGAATTTTGATGTCGACCAATGCTCGTACGTACAAGACGATCCTCTATGAAAATCTGTATGCATCAAATATATAAAAATACACTTTAAGTCTACTAAATCCATCTGTGAACATATAGCAAACATATACAAATCAAAATGGCTAGCTAAACATACGATCAAGCTTAAATGCTGAGATAAATCCCTTCACAAATCACTATTTTGGTGAACACCCAAATCTGAAATAACCAGGGTGTTCTAAGAAAATTACAATGATGTTGTTACCTTCACAAATGTTCTTAAATAATAATTAAAAAAACAACTTTCACATAAATCCCAAAAAGAAAGCTAATGAAACATTTACACAAATAAATAAACACAAGCAGAAAAAAAAAACAATTTCAAACAAAAACCAAACAATCCCTATTGGTATCCGGAGCCAAGCTCCCTTTCCCAGTCTTCCCGACAAACGCGACCTTCAACTCCTCGCAAAACACCCTCACCGTCGACCGCCGCGTCCACCACGAGTCCGACTTGAACGTCGTCCACACCGCCATCCTCAGGCTAAACTCCACCGCCCCGGGGCCATTGTAATCCTCCGCCATCTTCTCCACCGCCTCGTTCTCCACCTCCTCGTCCACCGAGCTGTTCGTCGCCAGCCTCGTCGTCATCCCCGCCGCCGCCCCCGTCTCCAGGCTGAACGGGTTCGCGTACGACGACGCCAGCGGCTGGTCGTCGTAGAACATGAACGTCTCGATCTGGTTGAAATACAACCGGATCTTCGTGTTCGGGTTCTTAGCCGTCAAGTTGGCGTCCCACGCCGCCGCGAAGCTCGACTGCTTCGCGTCGAAATTCGCCACGGCGAGGGACTCGACGTGGAACTCCGGCACCTGCGGCCGGAGCACCACCCAGAGGACGATGGTGGAGGCGAAGATGCAGAAGAAGAGGAGCATCATCCCGATGAGGAATCCCCGGGCGAACCCGGCCGCCGCGTTCATCTCCTGCTGGGTCGGGTACGCGCCGGCGCCGTTGTTGTGGTAGTAGGCCGCCGGCGGGGCCTGCGCCGGGTAGTTGTAACCGGCGTAATTGTAGTTGTAACCGGGCGGGTACTGGTTGTTGTAACCAGGCGGGTACTGACCCGGCATCGGGGGAGGGTAGCCCATGGTTTGGGGATAATTGTAATTGCCGCCGGCGGGAGGGTACGGAGGCGGCGGGTGTTGGCCGTCATTGAAGGAAGTGGAGGCGGCTTTTTTGTGTTTCTTCGGAGAATCGTCATCGGACGACGACGACGACCGACCCATATTTTTTTGTTAATTAATTTATTTATTTATTCTCTCCTTGTGTTTGGTTTAATTTTGTGTTGTCTCCCTTGGATTGATATCTCCCTCGGAGGTGGAGGGAGACGGCGGCCACCGGGAATCGGAGAGAAAGAATTTGATGTTGTTAATGTTATTCCCGGGGGTAGGAATTCGAAAGGGAGAAAAGAGAAGAGAGATTAAGGGGAGGAATTTTATGGCAGGAGAGGCAGTCATGTTGGATTTATTTATTGTTTAATTATCGTCGTTGAAAACTAGAAAGAATTTTGCTGTTTGTGTTGTTGGTTTAGCTAAGAATAGACCAATGGCAAGGAAATTTTACCTCGAGACCTCGAAATGTTGTTTGTTTCCTTTTCTCCATTGTTTTATTGTTTAGGTTGATTGACGATTATTTTAATTTACTCATAGGAGAAATCAATGTTCTGTTTTGAGAATATTATTATGGAGTGTTGGGGGCATGGAGAGAAGCCCAAGAGGAAAAGGCCCAACAAACAATAACTAGGCTCAATCCATTGGGGAAATAAACCGTCTGTAAAAGTGACGCCCGATCTCTGACACGAGGCGCATGGGGAGAAAAGGGCATAACAGTCGAAGGTGTACGAAGGGCGTAACAGATGAGGTCATGTGCCCTGAAATTCTGAATATGGTGTCAAGTGATCGAGGCGCATGGCAAAGCAAAAGTACTGTGCATTTATTACGACGATGACGTATGACGAATATGGGATGTAATGGTCGGCCAGGCTCCGGGTATAAATATGAGAGTAGGTGAACTTCATTTAATCATATTAAACTCTCTCACTAAAAACTTTACTTCACTTCTCTCTCTAAACTATGGTGCTAACTTGATCGTGGCAATACTAATGTACCGCAAAAGGTCTGTTGTGCGCCTCGTGTGCAAGATCCTACGCGCCTTAGTCACCAAGAGGGGAAGCAGCGGAGGCACCTCAGGAGAGTGAAAGAGGAACTTGGCTCAAGCATGGAGAATTCGAAATGTCCGAAAGAGTACTGTCCTTGTTTGTGTGCTTGGTAGGAGCTAATGATGAGTAAAGTGGTTGGTTATTCCTACGTGGTTATATCTCTTTATTTTAAGTAATTTAATTTTTTTTAGAAAAATTATATTTATAATATTCTCATTTATATTTATTTTGACATGTTTTGAAATAAAAATTGAGGTATATATCAACCGTCTATACCATTGTGTTAGTGTTTGGTAGTATATAAAATTATATCATGATGGTATGAAAGTGTATCAAGGTGATGTGGATATATAGTAGGACTATACTAACCACTATTTTACCATCAACTACAGCCGGTTACCACTTACCATCCTGTACTAGGATTTTCAAAAAATTTTGTAGATCATAATACATCACGAACTCACATGCTAAATTTTTCAAAATTTTAGTTAAAGTGAAGGTGGTACAGAGTGATAACAGGTGGTACCAGAATGGTAACGAGTGATAATGGATGGCACCAAATTTATTTTCTCGAAATGTAATGCACATGAATTTTTATTTTGTAAATCACAATTAAAATTAAAAGTATTTTAATTTCAATCCTTAGATCTAACCTTGCATAAATTTAAGGAATCGGGTCTTGTTATACTTAAATGTATAACCAGTGGTTATACACCCTAATTTAGACAAATGTGAAATGGGTGATTAGTGTTTTGATAACACTAGGCAGAATTGACAGTTAAGTTCTCTCAAGCACGTGATAATAGTTTAATCACCGGCGGTGATAAACTTATTGATTATGGTAAATCTGTCGTTAAACAATGTACACTTTGCCGCCCTTTCGTCACCAAATATAGGAAAGAAAACAACATCATCCTCGTCAAATTATGTCTTGTTTGGTCACTCCATAGATAAAAATGTATCACAAGAATCAAAGAAATATTTGACCAAAATTACTACAATAATAAGATACAAATTTCATGACATTGGCCAACGAACAAGTTGCTCCAGTTCATCCTGTATCACAGCTGCGACGCTTCGTCGTCCTCGAACGTAGCAAAAACAGCACACTCCATCCCCCCAAAATCGAACCTCCAGCTCCCGATCCCAATCTCGGGGTCCATTTCCACAATTACTCCCAAGCACTCGCCCATCACTTCAGCTCCCTTCTTCCTCCCGCCGTCCTTCCCGTAATTGTACTCCGCCGTCATCTTGAACCTCAGGCCCAAGCTCAACACCCGGTCCGTCTCCACCTCATCCTTAATCCTCCTCAACACCTCGGGCCCAACAGCCGGATCGTGGGCCTTCACCTCGCCGGTCCTTTCCAGATTCATTTCGGCCTCCCTCGCGCTCATGGGCCCGAGCCCAAACTCCTGGCCCGACTTCGCCGTGCCCAATACGGTGTCGTCGTAGTACAACACGGAGACCTCCACGCCGTCCAGCGTCACGGAGGATCCCCAATTGTTATTGTAGAGGAAGAATTCAGCGGTGAAGTCGGCGGCGAGGGAGGAATTGGAGACGCGGAGGCCGGAGACGGAGAGGGATTGGAGGTAGAGCTCCGGCGGGAAGAATCGGGCGAATCGTGAGGAGTTGAACGCGTTGACGGAGGACAGGAGGAGGGCGCCGAGGAAGAAATAGAATATTCCCACCAGCCAATCCTCGGGATACTCAAATTCTCTAGAAGAATCTGCAGCGGGATGCTCTGTTTGCTCTGTTTGTTCGATGTCGGTGGGGAAATGGCTTAGCGGAAGAACGGTCGGGACTTGAATGTATTCGTTTGCCGGCGGGGGAGGGACGGTGGCGGATTCGTCGACGGGGACGGTGGCGGGGTCGTCGACGGAGACGGATTGGTACTCGCCGTTGACGGAAGCCATCTCGTGGAGGAGAGACGGCGGGCGGGTGATTAGATGATGATGTGATTGGGGGGAAGATGTTTAAGTTTTTGGAGGTGAGATGATTGAAATTAGGGAGCTGCTAATGGATGGATTAATAATGATGGGTTTGGTAAAGGATTAACTGACTTAACTGAATATGCAAACTAACTGAACTGCTTCGGAAACTGTTGATTAACGATTTGAGGTGGCCTATAAACGTAAATACTAATTTAACAGTTGGGCTGTTACCCTCGTCTATTTTTGTACCTTTTTATCATGTTTTATTTGTTCTAATCACAATCAGATAACTTAATTACCTTTTTTGTTTTCGGAAAATTTACCGTTTCTTTACCTTACGGCCCCAGGCCCCCAACCGTACATCATTTAGTAAGACTGGGGTGTGGTAAAATAGATAAGATGGTTTGAAAAATTATGGACCAAACCGGATCGCACAGTTTGGTTTAGACCGTAGAGCGTTAAAAATCAGTGTTATTAAAGCCGAACCGAGCCGTTCGGCCCGACCGGTAGAACCGCCACCCGATCACAAAATCGGCTCGGAACAGTCTAAAAGCCGCTCCGGTTTTATGTAGCGGTTGGCGAGCGGCCAAGGCGGTTAACCGCTCGAGCCGATCGAGCCGCTCGTCCGGTTTTTGCCATTCAGCCGTAGATTTAATTAAAAAATTGCAGAAAATCTAAATAAACCAAAAACGTCGGTTCTTAAACTGAATCTTTATTTCCATTTCACAATTTCAAAGGAAAGAGATGAGTTCTGATTAAGAAATGTCCACTATTTATATTGATAACGCTTATTAAGTACCGGTTCTCTAACGATTTTTAAACGGTCTATTGCCGGTTGGACCACTAAAGTGCCAGCCGTTCGCATTATCGGGTCATGCTCTGGTTCGGTTCTGACAACATTGTTAAAAATAGTTTGGTATGGTCCATGGTATGTATTATATGATGGTTTGATATCTTGGTCTGATCTGGTTTAGAGCACGGTTTACCGAACCAAACCGTGAACCCAGTCGACTTCCCAATATGTGTTACCAGCTCACTCAACCATTCTCCCGATTCCCCCAACAAGACCAAAGTCTCAACCCTAATTTGGAGAAACTCATCTCCGCTTTCATTCACAACCACGTTTCACTAGAGAGTAGAAATGATCGTGTCTCCATATGATATTATGTTAATGTTGATGGTGTTATGGTGCAAGTTAGGTTGATTTGACTTTGTATTTTTGTTGTTTACTGAGATTTATGATGCCAAAATTTTTCATGCATGTTGGAGATTTGTTTTAAGGCAAAAAACATTTTTTTTTCTCGGTTATTGATTCAATTTTTTGTGTGGTTGACTAAACAAATTGCCCATAAAGACTCTGTAGATCTTGAGAATGCATGTTCTTATGCTTGCACGGATGAGAACTTTCTTAAAAGACTGTTTTACAGAAGGGATGTTAACGAGATTCCTTATATGAGTAAATAAAAGAAACTCAACCATGAAAAGGAGTGGGATGCCCCTATTCCTTTGATTAGAATAGAGAAGTTGATGATCCATAGGTTCTAGATGTCCTCTTCATTGTGGTCTATCTGGATCAGACCATAGCGGACCAACCACACAGGTGTGGTTTGGTATGAATCATATAGTACGTGGTCTTGTCTCTCGTCTATATTCGAGCCCTATTTGGCCCCAAATTTGTTTCCAAAGATAAATTTTCCAAACCTATTAAAAAAATATAAAAGTTTGTGAATTTTAAGAAAATTTTGCATCATATTGCCCGTTAACGACTCAATCAAATCGTATCTATATTAGTGATCTATTGATGCTAATATTTTTTTGGGTAAATACAATTTAATATCCAAACCTTTCATTTTAAACAATATAATAGCGAAATCTTTTCGAAAACAATCTAATATCCAAATCGTTAACTTTCCGTTCGTTTGACCGTTAGTTGACACTTCAAAAAAGCTTTGTTTAGGGGAAATTGTCACAATACAACTTTGTTTTCTAGTTTTGGCATTGCAGATGACTGAATATTTAGATATTCTATACCATCATGGTGGAGTCATAGACTTCTCGGGTTTGGAACTACGATATGTTGGTGGTTTTTCAGAGAAGATATCAATTGATATTGATGAAGTGTCGTACTTCAAACTTT